TCTCTAGAATTTACGTCGTAGTCAATTATTTTTCCTTTGATCAGAGTAACATTTTATGTCAAAACTGTGGTTAATCTCGTTACGATGGGGAAACAACACATTTAACGTATTATTTTGTAAAATGTCTCTTTTGCGTTCATATAATCTTTTATTTAGATTTTTTGATGCGTGTGTGTGTGTGTGTGTGTGTGTGTGTGTGTGTGTGTGTGTGTGTGTGTGTGTGTGTGTGTGTGTGTGTGTGTGTGAGAAAGAGATAGAGAGGGCCTGTGTGGTTTGTTTGTAAAAGCTGTTTAACGTATTTCGTCGAAATATGAATATAAAGCAATAAATAATTATGTTGGACACATCATCACCATCCTGTCAAGATGACTGAACTTACATCACTACAACCAAAGCTATATACAGACAATTTAAACTAGTATGAAATTATACCAATCTCTATACGGAACATATTCGTGGAGAATATGAATGTAATACTAAATTTCAACTACAAAGAAGTGATGGAAACTCATATTATTAATAACAAGGTACCAACACTTAACAAACATAAATTATGAACACTGTCACAATGTAATGGCCATATTCAGAAATTAGGAAGGTATCTACCTTCAGCAACTTATAAACTGTCTACGATAGCGTTTTCACAACATTCATTATTGCAATATAACAAAATTATACTTGAATATAGTTAACAGTTTAGCCGAAGGTGCTCGGAATCAACAAAACTTTTGGTCAAATTTTACATCAGTTAAGTGCAGAAAAGATGACTCTTGTACGTATAAAAGAATACTGATAAAAAAAACTAGACTAAATAACATTGTTAAACAAAACACACTTACACACAGACAGACAGACAGACACACGCATACACACACACACACATATATATGTATATGCACGTTAAATTATATACAGTGTAACCCGGATATAAGAGACCCGGATATAAGAGAAACCCGGATATAAGAGAAAACCCGGATATAAGAGAGATTTTTCTGGTCCCAAATTAGAGCCTGTGTTACCTAAACAAAATAGACCAAACCCGGATATAAGAGAAACCCGGATATAAGAGATTTTTTCTGGTCCCAAATTAGAGCCTGTGTTACCTAAACAAAATAGACCAAACCCGGATATAAGAGAAACACGGATATAAGAGACTTCTCCGGTCCCGACAACTCTCTTATATCCGGGTTACACTGTAAATGAAACTAATGTATATATACACACAGTATATATGTGTGTGTGTGTGTGTGTGTGTGTGTGTGTGTGTGTGTGTGTGTGTGTGTGTGTGTGTGTGTGTGAATATCTTCATGTTTGTGTAGGGTTGTGTGCGTACACTGTCTAGGTTTGTTTTTTAGACTAAAAGTAAAAAGTGATCTCCACAAAATAAACAGAAAAAAAATCTACACGGAGATTCTCACCGACAACAATCGGAGATTGGGAATAAAAGGCTACATGATTTTTGTCTTTATCAACTGGTATTATTAGTTTTATATGTAGCTTAGTATCTCAGTACATCATTCATTACTAATATCAAAGAAGCGGGCAACTCGTCAATGGGAGTACATTTCATAAACAAAAAAACAAATCACTATCTATCTATCTATCTATCTATCTATCTATATATCTATCTATCTATCTCTGTCTCAGTCTTTTTATCTATCAAGCTAGTTAGTT